AAGATTCTGTCCATCAGCTGGAAGAGATGTGTGCGTCCATCTGCAAGTGCATAGTGCACTCAGCACAGGAAGAGCAGCCGCAGGGAAACAAAGCAAGCAGCAAGGATCCAGGTCCCCTCTCCAGGAGACACTGCCCACTGCTTCTGTGGGAGTGAAAGGTTTGCATGGGGGTTCGAGGCCCCTCAGATTTTCCTATTTGATTTGGAAGGACTGATGTTCTGTCTTAGGTTGTGACTGTGAATGCAAAATGTAAATGTAGGGCCAATTTGCAATCATTCTGCCAATTTGCATAGGCTAGATTAGGGATTGTCTTGGTGTTTCAGAGAGTAGTTTTCTCCTGTCTAAAATCTTCCTGATGCTGCACAGTAAATTATAGCAGACATTCCTGTAGTTTGCCAGCACTAAAATCTTGATAAGCCAAAGTGCTTAAAATAAAGATCCATTTGCAAACTCCAATTATGCTTTGCATTTACTCTGCCATGTGCTTGTAAAAACAACATTACTTCAGGAAGGTTTCACTGCATGAGCACCAGGTCATTTTTTTTTTTTTTTACTATCTCAGAAAGACAGTAGGGAAGTATGATCAGTGCTTGACAGCTTAGGTAATTCAAATGCAATTGTATAAACCCTGTCAGTCGTGGAAGAAATAGTCAATTAAACAGAGACATTTTCCATGACAAGGGCAATTAAATGGGCTGATTTTCCTCTTATCTCGCAAAGACATTTTTTAATTTCTTATTACTTGCTGAGCCAGTCTTGGCTTTTCTGCCTGGGCTAGTGGCCCAGGTGTGTTTGCTCTCACAGTGTGCCTCTCCACCCCTTACACCAACAAGGAGAGCAGGCAGGTGGGCAAACATACTCAAGTGCCCTCTTTCGTGGGATGTGCTGAGCAGCAGCTGAAGACATCTTCTATCTTGACAGAGTAGAACAGCAGTGCAGACAGATATCCTTCCACTGCCAAGTTCATTTACAGTCTTTCTAAAACACACAAACGCGCATACCCGTGCATTGACTGCTTGTTTTCTTGCTCTTGTATACTCAGCCGTGGCGCCTTATCACTCACGGAGGGTGGCTGTAAGCACACCACAGGCCTTAACCCTGTCCTGGCTGCTCTGCACATCTGCAACACTGACAGGAAAGCAGGTCTCACTGACAGCTCTCACTGCTCCTGCAAATGAAGCTGGACAGGTGCAAGTGCCGTGTAGCCAGCAGAGCAATCCCACAGAAAATATATCTGTAATGTTGTTAACTCTTCTTTATCCTTGCTCCCATTCTCTTTTTAATAATTTCATTTTAGCCTGATATGGGCTCATTGTTGTACACAGAGCTGGTCTAAACACCCTAGGATCCTTTGGGCTATGCCCTACCGAACCAAACCTATGCAGGTATGGATGTGCGCATGTATGTGCACGTAGAGCACCTCACAGACTGGGGGACTTCTACAGCAGGAGGAACAGAAATGAGAGGTTTTGGCAGCGTTTGTTTGGCAAAATACAGTCTTTGAGAAAAGTTTGCAAGTGAGAAGTCAGTTATTTATATGACCAGTAGGTGTTGGCAGGACATATCTCTGAGAAGCATTAGGTGCTCTGCGGTGGAGGGTGGCACTTAGCCAAGAATTTGCAGTCACCAGGATGTGATAGACTCAGTTTTATTACTCTGGCTTAAAATATGGGAAACTGAAAATGGAAAGAATAAAAGGGTGCCTCAGGAAGGTGCCTTTGCATACATGATGTGGGCTGTGCAACATACACTAAAACTGGGACTAGTCCTTAGAAGGTGATCTGAAGCAAGCAAAATGGTTTGTATCATTGTCATAACGTGTTGCTTACTTGTCTCACTGCTCCCTCATGCACTGTATCTGCACATCACCTCACCACCTTTCATCTTGTGTTTGGGTGGGAATCTATCTAGGACGAGCTGTATTGTATCACACTCCAGTGCTTTTCTTCACATAGTAGACCTCTGATCCCAAAGATGCCTGGTTTTTCTAGACATCACTCTAATATCTTTAGTAATACTGATAGTTTTTCTCACTTGCTTTTGTTAATGGAAGCTGACTGGAACTGAGGTTGTTTCTTTGCAGAATTATAAATTATAGATACAAGGCCAGTGATCCCTTTCCATGGAGGTATTGCCATAAGGTGCAGTTAAGACCACATTGCATAGGAGGTTACTCTCTCCAGGGTCCATTGTTTTGATTTTTGAGAACAGGATCATTCAGAGGCCTCATGGGAGCATGTCAGGTAGGGCTGACATCACTCAACAGTGGCCATCTCAAACATATGCATCTAATTTATGTTAAACAGGAAGACTACCACTATACCCAAGGAGAGAGATAGGGTCACTGCCATGGTGGTTTATCCCAGCTCCTCTGGAGCAGTATCTCTCCGTGGGCCAGAAGGCACCTTGCTGACTAGCCTGGAGTAGCTCTCACTTCAGACTGCAAAAGCCAGGTAAGATGAGCTGTGCCTGAGTGGTGTTACCTGCTGGGCTCCTGGTTCCTCACATTACCCTGGCTATGCTGCAAAGCCCACTGGCTTTGGCAAGCATTTCCACAAGGCTCTGGGGCCATGAAGGGCTGATTGGGAAGCTCCTTCAGAGTGTACTGCTTCCTATCCTTGCTACAACACCATATTTGAACTCAGAAATGTAGTATCTCTCCATGAAGTAAGTGGCACAGCTTGTCCCCAGCAGAGTACTGGGCTGTAGGTTCTGTTTGCAGACTCAGGAAGACATCACAGCACTATATATTCAACTCACGTTTTGAAAGCGTTCCCTGTACATTTTAAGTTTGTTTTCTTATTGATTCTGACATGATTTATACTCTGACATGAGTTCAGGATGATGTTTTTGAGAAAACGAGGATAGACTAATAGGCTGTGAGCTGCCAAAATGTAGACTATATATTTTTGCAATAAAACTGTCCCACCGCTGCTAATAATATACCAAAACAGAAAACTCAGTAAACATAACACATAAGGCCAATTTCTAGTTCAATGCATAGCATTTAAGCTTCACAGATCTAAAGATAGTAGAAGTTTCATTATTATGTCCTATAGTAGGCAACAGACACTCTAGAAGAGGATAAAACGGTCCCTTAGGAATAGGAACATTAACTCTTCCCCCAACATGCATGCCTGTCTCCCTTATAGCCGAGTTGCATTTCAATGTGTTGCAACATTTCATTGACAGGTGCAGCATGATGGTTGACTGTTCAGATGAATTTGAAGTTGTCCTCAGAAAGCAAGTTTGCTGCAGCTGTAGTTTTCTGTTCTGTTCACTCACTTCAGACAATAACTGCTGTTGATGTGCTACTGAGTAAAAGCATTTGCAGTGTTTACTTCATGTAGCACGTGATCAGATAGATAGTAACAAATCTTTTCAATACAATCTTCTTCTTTGTGATGCATTTTTCTTTTCCTGACATTTTTAAAGCAACTTACATTCCAGTTTTGGAAGGACCAATTTCCTAGAGAAATATTTATTATTTTCCTAACATTTTCTTCAGAAGTGGCAGTGCTCCAGCTGTCACACGAAACTCAAACGTGAAAGCGTAGGTGACCCTTTACTAGAAAACTTGTACAGTTTTCCTACTTTTACAGTAGTCTCTTTTGCAGTAAGTTGCCTGAAGACTGCTATCTCCACAAAAGCATATTTGTCATCTGCTATTGGGCAGAAAGTGCTATTGTTACACGTACGCTTAAACAGAGGAGTTGAACCAGTGTGGCTACAAAACATAGTGATCATTCTCCCTGTCTCTAACGCACTATGGAGTGATCTACTTTCATTGAAGCCACATGCCATTTATTGAAATACATGCATGAACTCCCTTGAAAACTGAATGGAAATAGTTTCATGTTTTAAAATGGTAGGCTGGCAGGAGAGAGAGCATGTGGCATGCAATGGGCTACCTAAGACAACCTATTTCCACTTCCCTGTGTCCAAGAAATACAATGCCTGTGTCTTTTTGAGCAGGAGAAAACTGATCTTTTCTCATAAAAAATCTTGGCACTTTTGTGAGATTTCATAACTGTAACATGTTGACATATTATTCCTTAATCTCTTTCTGAAGCACCAAAATTATAAACAAATATCTTGGCCTCTTTGATATGGGTAGATGTTTCTATAGAAGCAAACAGTTCAATAAATGCCTAAAATCTTTTCAGGAAGGTAGGCTACATCCTTCAAAGTAACATTTAAATTCAAATGTCTTTTGACATTGAAATCTGAATGCTCTGAGACTGATTTCAAAATTGCCACAGAAATCTAAAATATATACCTGACAATTAGAAGTACGTTGTCTGTAAAAATCAATCCTTTATTATATATTCTAAAATAGCATAGCTTTTATATGTTATTTTTACCAAGCATTATTGGAACACAAAGTTGCTGAACCAACAGCACAGATCAGTTTTGATTGGATAAGGGGCAAATCATTTAACCAGGGAAAATATACTGACTAATGTGGATTGAGATGCCTGACTTCAGGCACTCTCATTTGAATATTTTGAACATATTTCATAAACTCTTGCCTCATAAGTAATTAGCCTCAAGAAAGCAAGACACTATAAAGAATTGATTCTAACTGCACTTTAAATTGCTGCTCCAGTGCTTTCACACTTCATGAAATATAGATCAATTAGCTTTCTGGCAAATTTGAAATGCTATCTTTTAACAGAGCATCCTTTAATGGCTATTTTCTCTCCCTGGGCTTTAACTTGGTCTGTTTTTGTTTTTCTTTTAATTAAAATAGAGTATTAGCTAAACTGCACAAGCATTTAGGTTAGCCTAGAAAAAGTATCCAGCATTCAGTCTACCTCCTCGAGTTTTCTGTTCATAACCACCAGAAATAAACTGACATCGCTCTTTTTCTCTCATTACGTTAAAAATGCCACTTATAAGCATTTTACTTGTTACTTGAAAGTATGCATTCATAACTGTGCATTTTATGGATCTGTAACTATCCAGACTTCTTTGCAAGACTACAGCAGAAAGCTTACCTGTCAGCTGAGAGAGCAGTGAGAGTAAAGACTGACACCCCTACGGAAGTGAGTTGTATGAAGGGGATTAGTTTACATCCAATTCTTCCGAACAGCCATTCATCAGCCAGGTACCTGCTGGCATCCACGGGCACACAAGTCACTAAAAGAAGCAGGTCTCCCAAAGCCAAACTGGAGATGAACAAATTAGGGACATTTCTCATGGATTTCACAGTACAGAAGATCTTAATCAAAGTGATATTGCCGATAAGGCCTATTAAAATGATGATCCCATAAATGGTGGGGATGGCATACAGGAACGCTGGGTAGAACCAGTCATCGCTCAGGATGGAGAGATTTGCACTCTGGTTGACAGAGATGTTGTAGAGAATGAAGTTATCCATTTCCAGGTCTAGCAGGAGGCACTCTCCTGATGCCATTGTCCCACTTTGTTCTTCTCCGAAGATAGTTTTCTTTGACAATCCTTGTATAAAATGTCTTGCTTTAATTTTGCTGCTGCTTGACTGGTTTAAGCTGTCTGAAGTTTAAAAGTCATATCACTTTGTGATACATTTGAAAATAAAGAAAACAAAAAGCAATGACACATTGTTCAACGGCAGGGTTTCCATAAGTTGAAAAGAGAACATCTTTTAGCATAGTTTGAATCCTGAAACTTGTCTTTTTCTCATTGACTTGTCTTCCTGTTTGGTATTCCTCAGTTCTAAAAAGCCATCTGTCAAATTCAAAGACCAGTAAGTGGGAGGCATTTTCAAAAGCAAAGCTAGTTAAATTCCCAGCTTCATTTCTGCCAAGCAGAACTGAGTCTGAAATAAGGAAATTACAAAAAGCAAGAACTTTTGATAGTTGCTGTCACTCATGCTGCATTCCCAATCTCTTCCGGGTTTTAGCACCTGCATTTGTCAGCTGGATTTAAAGTGAGGAAAAAGAACAGCTCCTTTGACGACTCAGATCCTATAGGCAGGATCTTCTGGACGTCAATTCTTCCCCTGCTTCACATGATCAGAGCAAGCTTGCTTAAATGATTACAGTAATTCTATGGAAGCTGCAGGCTAGCGCCGGAGAATGCCAGCCACCTACTGGACAATTTAATCATTGCCTGGATATATATATATAAAAAAATCGCTGTTAACTCTTTAGATGAAAAAAATTACTCATTTATACCTTATGAGATGAAGTTTAGGTTTTGTCCCCCCCGAAAAAAAGCTTTGTAAGCTTTATTTATTTCATACTGCAAATAATATGATTAGAGAAGCAATCACACCTTTTTAAATGAGAGCACACATACTTTGTTTGCACTTCAGTATGCAATTGCTTCAATGAAAGAGAATAATGACATGAGGCCAAATTCATCCTTCAGGGCAAATGAACTGCATAAGGCTAATTAAGATAAAATCAACATTATAGTGAAGGCAGGTAAATGAGTATTGGCCCTATGCAATTGCATTTAACGAGAGAAGCCTGAACTCTGCACATTTTTTTTGTTAATTTTGTTTTAATTTGGAGTAACAACAATAAGGAATAAAGTTAACTCTTCAATGTGGTCACTTCTATTTATGAGGTACCCATCATATTGGCATCTATAGGTAATGCACATTTGGATGAAACAAGGAAAAACATACTTAGTTTGTAATCTGAAAATGCTCTTTCTTACATCTTAATTAAAATATAACTATGACTGATGCCTTACTGGTTTATAACAGACAGGCTATTTATGGTTATGTACAAGGACTTTCTGGGCTGTGGAGAAATACAATTAATTCAGAAACTGGACTGCTGAATGAAATGAAGCTGCAGTTTATGTTTGCCCTCACACTGGACATTTTTGCAGGCAAAAGAATGTTTTACCAACTACTACAATTCTTTGGAAGTGAGAGGGAACGTGATTCAAATCAGATGTTAGACAATAAAAGCATGATCACTAGTTACTTGATAAAGGAAATATTTCGGAATATGATCTGGAAAATACCAGATACTTGGGAGCTGTGTCCCAGAATGGGACTCTAAGAGAAAGCCATTAGTAGCTGTTTTGCTGCCACATTCTTGTGACCCAGGTCAGTGTTTTCAGCTGCTTTGCCGCTGTTCACTCTAAGTCAACAAAGGACTTATGTGTACCCTTAACTTTAAGTAGGGATACTTAGACATTTCAAATCAAATACCCAAGAGAGTGCTGTGCTGAGAGCTCGAGGGAACAGAAGAGCAGCTGAATTTTCTGTTATTCTTACGGATAAAAACCTACTTTAAAAAACAGACCTCAAGTTGCCACCACTAAAAGAAGAGAACACAGAGCTACTGTGCATACTCTGATCAGTGTGCACAAGTAGAAGAGAAGAGCTCCAGTGGGTCCCGGCCAGATGCATGCAAAGCTGCCAAGCTGGAGAGAGCCCAGCTGGAGGCAGTGTGGTGTTTGGCACAGCAGGATGTGCTGTACGCACGGAGAGATGCTGGGGAGCCACCAAAGCTGCCCAGCTACACGGCGTGATGGGATGCCTCTCCCAGCAGCTCCCCCAAAATAGTTACGAGTCTGGTTGGAGGGACTGCGCTGTGTGGGGCTGTGCACTTCACCCTCTTTGCTTTCACAAGCTTTGTGGTGAAACTGAAATGACATTGCTGGAAGAGAGAGGAAGAAGTGGGAGCAGCCAATCACTGTCATCCTGATGGGTCCCCCGTCCATCCTAACTGTGCTCCAAGCAGCCTGGTTGGTGGTCAGCGGTGACCCTGCTCTGAGCAGGTGGGTGCACTAATCATTGTCCAGCCTGAATGACTCTGTGATTCTGATTTATAAACCCACTGCTCTGAGCTGTAACAGCTCCAGCTCTCATCAAAAGGTCTTATTTTTCAAACTGAACAACAGAATGGTGTGCTAGCCAAAAACTCTCCAATATAGCCAGTAAGTCATAATTTACCACAGTTTAAACTATTCTACTCTGAAACCTTTCATACTGTTACATAGCAAACTATGTGGGATGAACAAAGTGAGTAAAAGAAACTTCTCTTCTATGCAGGTGGGTGTAGGCAGATCAGCATGCCCCAGATCTCTCCATCAGTTATAGAAGGGACTCGCATGATCTCTGGGAGGATTCGCTTCATCTTAGTCATTGCAAGGTAGATATTTAGTTCCAGGAAGCATTTCAAGTCTAAAGCTACATTCCTATTTTTGTTCTTGACAAACCGAGGCTTAAGGTTTTAGGACAGCCTCTTTTGGCCACAGAGAATGGGAAACTGAAGAGACAAATGCAGAAAAGGAAAAATCAGATCCTGTGAAGCTTAAAAGTTAGTTTATGTTATAAAAAAAATCATTGTTTGTGTCAGACATAATAGATTGCTTTGAGGTTCCAGAGCACATAACTAATACTAACATAAGGAGACAGATTTTATTCACAATTACCTTAGCCTATGAATGTTCCACAAGAGTAACTTAGAAACACTGAAGATATTTCCCAGAGTTGTTTTGTCTTGTCGTAAGTTGCATATGAGAGGTTTTATTTAAGGTAAATTGTGTGCTTTTTTCATCACGTTACTCTTTTTCAAAATCTAGCTTTTATATTCCATGAGCAGGCAAAAAGTTTGGGCATTTGTATGAGCACAGGCACCTCAGCTATAGTTTTCATTTCAAGCTCCCAAGTCTCTTTGCAAAGAAGGTAAGCATCATTACCCATATATTACCAATGGGGGAACATTCACACACCAAAAATAGAAGTAACTGGCACAGAGTTACTTAACAGGCTGTTGGCAAAGTCATGAATAGAATAATACAGATCTCCCAAGCCTGGTCCTGCATTATAATGTTTTTCTGTTGAACAATGAGAAATTCCACAGATATTTTCAACAGATATTTTTTAAGCTCTTAACCATTACCTAGCCTCTAAATGGCAGTTGCAAAGAGACAATCTTACTCCTTAATTGTGCACAGTGGGGGAGATTCATAAAAGAACTTAACAGGTAACATTTACAAAAGCAGTTAAAGGGTATTTGAAAGGTAAGGAATTTTAGGCTCCTACATTGCTCATGAGCTCACCGCCCAGAAGTTTCAAACAAATGCAATTTGCATTGAGAAAAGTACACGAGGACCGGCTTTTCAAAGTTGCTCAGCAAGTTGCAGCTGCCACTGTGACAGCTACAGGCAGATTTTCAAAGAGCCCAAACACCTAGTGTATCAACATCTCTTGAAAGAAGTTGATCATTTACTCTTCATATTTAAATAAGCGTCTTTGGAAAATCTAGTCTAATCAGGATTTTCACAACTCCTTCTGAGGTGAAATAGCACTAACCTGCTGTCTGGGTCTCAAGGTCTTTCCCCTAGAAATTAAGATGTGGAACCCCTCCCAACTGGCTGAGAAACCCAGATTATGTCAGAGACACAGGCTGGGCAAACCACCTGGGAGGTCCCATAGGAGATGTTTCCACGTCTTGAGCTGGACGATGCTGTTGAAGTCACCTGCAGAATTACTGGCTGGATGAGGGCGGCATAGGGCAGGAGCACGCTGGTGCCCCAGGGTCAATGGCCTGCTTGGTGGCCTCCACACCATGTGGCTCCGTGCTGGCAGGAGGAGATCAAATGGGGACTGTTACCCCGAGAACAAGGCCTTTTGGCAAGCATGTTGTACTTGTTGTCTTGCTCTAATACGACTTTCCTTTGTAGCGACTTCTTGCATATCACCTTTGAAGAGATGGAAACTTCTTACCAAAGTCAAGTGTCAGAAAGGAAATCCTTATGCTTACGTCCCAGCTATTTCCTTATAACTGTATTACTGAGGCTAGGAGCCAATGACCAGGGAATAATCCCTGCTGATCTTGTGGAATTTAACATCTGCTGCATTAACCAGATATTCTCCTTCTGCAAACTAGACTTCATTTCCCAGAGGGAACAAAGTGGTGGAAAACATCCTGCCTATGATCTGATCAAGCAAATTCTTTATTATTATTACTGTCACACATACCAGCGCACGTCATGCTCTGCATCTCAGTTTGCCACTCTGTTGCAGTCACCTAAGTTCACAATAACTGTTCACAAAAGGGTTGTTTTCTAACCCAGCCATTCCAAGGATCTGGTTTACAGCACAGCTTCACAGACAGTTAGTTATATTAAAACAATTTTTTGAGCAGCGGTCTGGGCTTATATCTGCACAACTAGAGGTCAGAGGGGCTGAGGAGGGAACTGAATATAACCCATGGTTTAAAAATCTCCTGAGTGCATACTTCATGCTGGTTTCTTATATGTTTAGAAATAGAGGTGACGCACTGTCAAGTTTGCTCCTTGATCAGGCAGCCTTGCTAATATATAACCCGTGCTGCAAATGAAGATGCAGGCCACAGAATGTGAAGCACTCCCACTGTGCCTTTGAAACCAGCTTATTCATCCTAAATGATACTACTCCTTCTGTGTGTTACTGAACTTCATAAATCCTGTACTCACTCCCAGCATCTCATCACAACTAGCACATGACATAAAGTGATCAAAACCTGACAAAACTAGAAGGGGTACCTGAACTGGATAACACCTTCCTTTCTCACTGTAGGACGCTTGCTCATAGGGAAGGAGGGATTTGAAGGAGAGATTATGAAGATATTTACAGGGATCTCCTACCAGGCTTGAGAGTAACACAGACAAAAGCATAACACCATCTGAAAATGTAGGACGTGAGAGATGAAGGCTATCTTGTGGGCCGGGAGGAAGAAGGAACCAGCCTCTGACTGACAAATGTTGGGTGAGAAGGGACCTGAGAGTGAAGAGAGATGCCCGTGTGAGATGATCTTGAGAAGGGTACATCAGGAAAAAGTGTTCAGTGAGTGCTGGTGTGAGCCATTATCAAGGAAAAGGACCTTGGCAGCAGCCTTCTGAACTTATCGGAAGGACAAGATTGCATATTTCAAGACCAGAGAGAGGAACACTGTAGTACAAAAGAAAGAGATAATGAGAATTTGGGCAAGAGACTTTAGCTATAAAAGGGATAAGAAAAGCCACATCCTAATCATTTT